TTAGCAGATATGAAATTAAATTGGTTGAATTTAATATAATTAGAGAAATTGATAAAAGTGGAAGAAAGATTTAAGGAGAAAGACAATTAACAAAATTTGTAATGATTATAAAAGAATGTGAGATGAATGAAGAATATATAGGGAAAGGGAAATATATAGAATATTAACTGAATTAGAAGAGCAAGCAAAATGTTTAAAATAAATTTGGGAATCAAATAGATAGTAAATATACAAATATTTGTTGGAGGTGCAAGAAAGAGGTTGGAACATATAACCATATATGGTAGGATTATGCATAAAAATATGGGACATGGTGTTTAGAGAAATTAGAGAACTCTTGAATGTAAATTTATACATGTCACTGAGAATTGCATTACTATTGCTGGAGGAAAAATGGGATATAAATGAAACAAAAATAAATTTATTGTAAATTTGATAATGACAGCTAGATTAGTGATGGCTAAATATTGGGGACAAAATTGGGATATTCAAAGAAATGAGTGGTATAATGAAATTTGGAGTTTGACAACAAATGATAAATTAACAACAGAAATTAAATTTTAAAAAAGGATGATCAAAACAAATAATTATAATGAAATATGGGTGAATTTTATAAAATCAGTGTTGGTAGAAAGCAAAGGGAATAAACCTACTCAAGAATAGTATGTTGATTTGGAGGGGATAAGGGCACAATTGGAATATAATGTATATCTTTTAGTTGTTCTAGATGAAGAAATATAAGGGGGGAAGGGTCTCCAGGGGGTGGGGGTGCTCTGTAATATATGTTTTTTTCCTTTTTGTTTTTTCTTTCTTTTTTTTCTATTTAGATGTATATGTACTATGATTGTATTATTTGTATTTTAAAAAAATACAATATCTGTTTTCAGCCATAAAAAGAAAAGAAAGACCACCATGTAAAATAGCAGAGAATTTTTCTCCTTCCTCCCCAGATTTCAGAACTTACAATGGCTGAAATCAAGAAGCGAAAAGAAGCTTACAAGAAAATGCTTGAACGGAGGCAAGCAAAGAAAGAGGATGAGGTCCATGCACCACAAATTGGGGATCTTGAAGATCGCAGTGATGTGCAGACAGGTAAAGCACCAGACAGCATCAACCAATTATCAAATGACTTCTGGACCTGAGACGAAGGATACTCTGTTGGGCAGAAATATCCACCCCAATAATGGGCATTGGACCATGAAAGAACTTCCCTTTTTCTTTTCAATTTTCCTGATTTTTCTTACATTTCATACTTTTCCCCCCCCATGACATTATAAAAAGAGTATGTCACTAGGATATATGCCCATGATGGTGAACCTATGGCACATGTGCCAGAGGTGGCACACGGAGTCCTTTTTGTGAGCATGTGCGCCATCACCAGCTGCACTTCCAGGTTCAGGCATGCACATGTACACCACCCAGCTGGTCTTTGTGCATGCGTGCAACTGAACCCGGAATTGCAGCTAGCGACGGCATGCAGCCAGTGAAGACCAGCTGGCTGGTGCACATGCATGTGACAGAACCTGGAAGAGAGCAGCTGGCCACATGCATATACACCGTTGCTAGCTGCACTTCTGGGTTCTGTCGCACGCATGCACGAAGCCCAGCTGCAATGGAACCCGGAAGAGAGCGGCTGGCCACACACACATGCGTACTGGCCAGCTGCTCTCTTCCGGGTTTCGGTGCTCCGGCGCACATGTGCATACTCCTATGTCGGCACTCTGTGCCAAAAAGGTTAGCCACCACTGGTTTATGCTAATACACATCCCATTCTAACACCTATTAGGACCCATCTGGACTAAAGGTTTTGTCTTTCCTATTAGCATTCTCTGCACTATACACACTGCATGTCATTTCCAAGATGACATCCTAAACATATTCACTATAGGATACATTCAATACATAGTGTTATAGTGTCATGCTAATAATTTTGGTACTTGCTTTTAATGAGCAACAAATCACCTTAGAGCAACAAGTTACTCCAGTCAACAGTACTGCCAATACTATTGTCATATATTCTGGGCAAGAAGAGTGTCCTAATAATGGATATTCACAAGCTGGAGGAATTTTTTTAAAAAAAAATCTAGATAGTGACCATGACTGTATGACCAAGGCCACTATTTTGTGTTTTTTTAATGCAAATCTACAAGTACACCTGAGTAAAGTAAAATAAAGAAATCTATTTTGTTTTCAGTGGCTGTTCTAGGAATATGAAGTCTTTCAAAACAGACTTCCATGAGTTTTATTTTTCAGAATTGTACCTGGAAGAGATTTTAGATCGTTTTATTGAAGTTGATGTGGAGTGTCAAACAGATGTTTTTATAAAAAGGCTACCCAGCCCAGTGTTCATCCCACAGAAGACTGGGGTTGATGTAGCAACACAAATTGAAGATGGAGAGGTACCTACAATATTTCAAAACTATTCTAGATAATCCAAGAGGTAATGGGTTGTTGTTTTTTTGCCAAACATATCTTTAAAATTTCCTAATTTTAGAAGTTTTAGAACAGGGGTGTCACACTCGTGGCATCACGGCGGCATCACATGACATATTTTTCCCTTCACTAAACCAGTGGCCAGCAGATGACGCATCCAGACTGCAGGCCGCGAGTTTGACAGCCTTGCCTTGCTTTAGAAGTTAAAACATTTTGTAATAGTCTGTTCTTTCAAGCATCCTAAAATTCAATACTATATGAGAACTGTGAAACACCACATCAGATATTCTGAACCCCAGTTCTATTTTTTTGTAACTGGGGTGCTTGCAAGAAAATGGGAGGCAGCTAATTTTGGGGGAGGCAGCGATGTGGCCATAAAGACCTGTCTCTAAGTTCCTTGGCAATCAGGCATCTAGCAGATGCTCCAGAAAAATCCCCATTGTACCTGCTTTCCTAACAACATTTGCTGTATTTACACTCTCAGCATGTTTAAAGCGTCTGAGCATGCTCAGATACAAGGACTGAAGGAGCTGCCCTAATGATGTCCACACTCATTGCTAGAACTGGTTGCCCAAACACAACAATAATGTTGAAATGGGAAAATAGAGACAAATAACAATGGTGTATACTCCAGTCTCCAATTCCTGGTTGAGAAACGATGGAGGTCGTGGTCTCTGGGCTATGGGAAAATTCAAGCAAACAGAAAGTACTTCTCATAGGATATCCATCCATGTCAAAGTTGTTTACCTCTAGACCTGGAGTGAGATACTTCTATTTGTCCAGATGATTTTAATTTCTACTATTAGCATGACCACTAATTTGGGAAGCTGAGGCTTGTAGCTCAGAACATCTGGAGGGATCCAAGTTTCCCCCTCTTATCCTAGGTCAATTGAAGCTGGAGGAAGAAAAAGACAACATCTAACAAAGAGATTGGAAACAGAATTGGGCTTAGCAGAGCTTTGCAGGCACTGCAGTGAGAAAGGGGATTTTTTCATCGTCTTTCTTTTCAGGGAAAATGACTCTTGAGCAATTACAGCAATTTCTTCCCTTGGCTCCTATTGATCCTAATGCTCTTCATGAATGGAAAAAGTTAAGGCATATCAATATGTATCATAAAGCCTTTCATCTGCTCAATTTTTATAACCTTGATGGATTTCATTTTCCTTTGAGAATCGCAATGCGATCCTTAGGAATGGGTCATGTTTATTGCCTTTCTCCGAACTCCCATTTCCCAGCTAGTCTTTCAAAACTCTGTAAGCTTGGTAAGAGTGATTGCGAGGGGGACATTGATGTTCTCTGAACTTAGTGCTCTGATTATGTTACCTAGCTTGGGTAATGAAACATCTGCAAGGAAACAATCAAGGTCAGAGAGCACGAAGGACTTTTCATGTCAACCCTGAATTACAAATATTCTCCTTTATAAGAATGATTGTCTCCCTTGAACAAATGAAAAGCTTGTGTATGACCTGACCAGAATATATTTTCTTGTTTCCTGTCATGGAGTAGAATGATATTGTACGGCATTTATTTGGCTCTCTTTTTTTTTTAACTCTCAGCTCTTTGACTTTGACGTTGAAGTTAAACCAATGCTTGAGGTGTTGTTAGGGAAAACCTTGGAGCAAGCTTTGCTTGAAGTCATGGAAGAAGAGGATATTAGCAAACTTCGGGAACACCAATATATCTATCAGCAATTGCGCAATGCAGAGTTGGCTGAAGTGCAACGCCTCGAAGAAGAAGAGCGGCGACATAGAGAGGAGAAGGTAGAATTTTTGTAGAAACCATTACTTAGTGGTTTGCTTGGATGCCTATGTATTTTGCTGTAGTATTTTTTAAACAAGGAATTTAGGCTAGGCGCCGTCTTGTCCTTTGCCTTGAGCATCAAAATGTTTTCATCCCACTCTAAAAATTAGCGATTCTTATGTACTTAGTTTCAGATCAGTCAGGTTTTCAGTGACTTGAAATTACAAATAATTTAAATTAGATATGATCTCAAAATGACAGCTTCTTTTATAGCAAGTAAAGAAATACAAACTGATACTATTAACTACAAATATGAGGGATAGAGAACATAAATACTTCAAGTAACAGAATAACAGACTTTGGAGAGACTTTGGAGGTCTCCTAGTCCAACCCCCCTCCCTGTTCAGGCAGCAAACCCTGTATCAGTGATGGCAAATCTATGGCACAAGTGGTACTCAGAGCCCTCTCTATGGGCATGTTAGGTGTTGCCCCAGCCCAGTTCCACTGCACATACGCGCCAGTGGTGGGTTGCTCTTACCGTCACTATCGGTATGCTGCTCAGGGGCCATGTGTCCTGTTCGTACATGCATGCTGCACAGACGTGCAATCCACCGCCCCTGTGACACCCAGGTGCTTGTTGGAGCTCGCACAATTGACCAGTTGCTTTAAAAACATATATAGAATGCAGGCGGGCGGGTGGGCAAAATGAGCCACCATAAAGGTACTCTATCAGCTGCTCCCTGCTACTACTGGTACGGCCGTTTCAGCACTAAAAAGGTTAGCCATCACTGCTCTATACCATTTCAGACAAGTAGCTGTCCAGTCTCTTCTTAAAAACTTCCAGTGTTGGAGCACCCACAATTTCTGAAGTCAAATCATTCCACTAATTAATTGTTCTAACTGCCAAGAAATTTCTTTATATTTCTTAGTTGGTTCTCTCTTTGATTAGTTTCCACCCATTGCTTCTTGTCCTGACTTTAGGGTTAAAAATAGATTTTTACAGCTTTATCCAGACAGCATATTCTTAATATAAGTCAAGTGCTTATCAAACAATGTTGGTGATATTACTTGGAATTTAATTCCAATTAGACAAATTGAGTTGAGGTGACAGGAGTGCAGTTTTGCTTGGTTACCTGGAAGGAGTTTGGTCCTGTAGCTCCTGAGAAAGTAGACAGGTCCCTTGGGACAGGTAACCCAGCTATATATTTGTTAGACCTTTGCCCTTCTTGACTTCTGAAAGCAGTCTGAGAAATGACTTGTAATTGGATCCATACAAACGTTAAAAAGACAATCAAAATACAACAATCACCTTCACTTACAGAAAAGGGGGAAGTGGAAAAGTCTGCACGTTTTATATATTATGTAAAAATATCCGCATTGCTAAAAGTCTCATGGAAAAATTGATGATTATTTAAAGGAACATCGGATGGCAAAGAAATGCCAAATACAAGCAGAAGCAGAAATGGTGTCTAAGAAAGTGGCAGCCAGGGCATTTTCTTTCCAATATCTGGAAGATTTGATTCCTTCAGTCTTTTTTAGCCTTCGAAGTAAAGGATTTTTCTATGATGAAGTCCAAAGAGGTAAGTGTCGTCCATACTGGAAATATTTTTTTAATCCATATCTGTAATCCAGGTGTAAAATCCACTTACCCTTGCAACCAGTTCAGTAGCAATGTGAGCGTTTGCACAAGAGACTTTCCGCGCATTCGCTGAACACGCCTGCAAAGGTAAGGGAATAGCGAGGGGGGAATCCGCTGTGCCATGCCATTTAATATTAATCACACATCACAGTTGATCATCAGAAAAACCTGTTCGCCTGAACCAGTAGCATTTTTTTTACTACTGGTTCAGGAGAACAGGTAACATTTTTACTACCGGTTCAGGCAAGTCTACCTGAACCCTACTGGTCTGAACCCGTAGCATTTCATCTGTGCAGTAATCCCTTAAATCATCCTGTGTGATAACAGTTAGCCCCCCTCAAAATGTGTCAAACCCAAATGTGTAGAATATTTTAAACGGCTTGGCTAGGACAGTATTTCTTTTGTTCATGTGCTGCTTGATAAGTATTTTTTTTTACTTACTTTAAATTTTTTTAAAAATTCTCAAGGTGATGAAAAAGATTGTATGTGGTGTTTGCTTGATAAGTTCAGATATTACTGCCTTTTAATATCTTTTGCAATTATTATTTTTAAATCAACCCTGATAAACTCTATATAACATGGATGTGATTAAAAGAAAATTCCTACAGTAAGAATTAAATGAGTAGCTTAAACTGGCAAGTAATATAATTACACAAGGACCTTGACGGTTAAGTTCTATTGAGAAAGCAGAAGTGTCTTAAGCTGATACTTAGGCTACAGTAAAAACAGCAGCAGCCAAAGTATAAAGGAGCTTTAAAATCCATTAATCATCTCACCTAATCTCTAGAGAAGGATAATCCATACAATACCATGAGCCTCAGTCATTTATTTTTAAGATGAGAGAAAATTCAGATAGGGAAAATATTTATGTTGCTTGATCCCAAACTATTATTTTTATTATTATTATTTTTGGGGACAGTGGTATTTAGCTAGGGATAGATTACCATGGAGAAAATCTATCTGTGTGGTCATTAGGATCACAAGCAACTTGATGGCACAGAATCAATCAACAGTAATATTTATACAATGTTGACTAGCGGGTAGAATTATTTTAAAAGCAATTAAACCATTAAAATGAAAAGATTTGTATCAATATTAATTGATTTCTGAAATATTCAAGTTAATAAGCATAAGGTTACTTAGATTTAATGATGAGTTGGCATCAATAAACCACAAACATTTATTATATGCTAAAGGTTTCTGTCTTAAATGTAATAGTGAATCCTAAAGTCTCCACTATGTTGTTACCTATTGCTGCTTTTGCATACTTAAAAAAGGGAAGGAAAGGAAAGGAAAGAAAGCTATTGGTTTCCCAAAACATTCAGAAAGGAATCACAAACTCTGAGAGAAGACGGAGAAAGAAAATATTCTAGGCCAAGCAGGGGGGGGGGAGTTAGACAACTGGATTATCTCCTAAAAGCAAGGGCTTCAAAGTTTTCAGATTGTTGTACCTGAATAATAATAATAATAATAATAACAACAACAACAACAACAACAACAACA